ATAAAAACCTAGAAAAGGTGGCCACAGGTGTCCCCAATTACCTCGCAAGTATTTCATCGGAAGATCGTATCATAAGCGCGTCTTTGACCCTTTCGAATGTTGTCTCGAGCTCATCTATTTGTCTCCTGAGCTGCTCATCAGCCACCGGCTGTTTTCCACCTTTCATTTTCCCCGCATAGTCCATGTCACTCTGGAAAAGTCAATTTCCGTTAGTTCAAGTTTTTCCCTCTCCACCCAACAGATCTTCCATTTTCCCCATTTTTTTTTCCATTTTTTTTTCCAGACCTCGACTCTGACAAGAGACTGCGCGTGTTGCCACAGGTTTTCGACTTTTGTTCGAGCTCTTTTGAGATTCTTCTCACGTTCTTTCATGTTCTTCCAAACATCATTGGCCATTCTCTTGTATCGCTGACGCGTGTCATCAAGATCCTCAGCAGCCAATTGACCTAGGGTCATCGTGCGTAATAAAACCGTGCATTGTTCTACTCTATCTCCTTTCAAGGCTTTCAATACTGAGTCAAAGCAGATTCTCTCCTGGGAATACGAATGGGATAGACGGTATTTCATTAATAATGAGGCTAATGAGGCTTGCGCCAGTAAACTGAAACTCGAAGGCTATTTTTTATGTCGCATTGTTCATTTTTCTTTTGTTATGGTTATTCTTTACTTTTTCCAGAATCCTTAGCATGCTTTGATAGGTTCTGTTGACAGCCTTGGCTGCAATCTCGTTAGATTGGGCTTCTTGATAAAGTGCGATGAGGCTCTGGTGATCGGCATCGGGTTCTGGCAGAGACTGCACTTCGTTCTCGTCATTCAAACGTGTCAATTCAAGCTGCTCCCATGGAAGAAAATTGGAATTCAATATTAATCCAGTTGTGCAGAAATAGTTGCAGATTTTATTTTCATTCGATAATTTTAGCCTCGGCTTTTATTTTGAAGTTAAAATTATACGAGTTTCAACTCGATTACGATTAAAAATTCATTCATCTTGGAATTTCAATGGATTACGTTAAAATATTAACTGATTCGTCAATTAAGAATCCTCCAGAGATTCCATTTCACATGTTAAAAAATTCAGGTTTTTTCGGTATATTAAAAAAATGCTTTTCAGACATGGACCCGACGAAAAATATGATTAACCTT